CGGACACGGCCACGGCCATCGGCGAACCTCCGATCGAGTTCCACAGCGGCTGATCGTAGCTGTTGGTAAGCAGCTGGTTCGCGAGGTTCTTCGCGCTATCTATTATCCAGTGTCTTTCCTCCGGTTCCGATTTCCTGTACTCGGTTTCCACGCCGGGCACGTACACGAGGTTGGCAAGCTCGAACGACATGAGCACCGTCTTTTCCAGGTTGGCGATCTCCTCGAGTCGACCGATCTCCGGCGAGGTGGCGGCCCCAACGGCAGTCAGGGCGTGAATCAGAACCGATCTGCTCGCTCTGAATTCCGTCATGTCCTCCACGGTTGCGTTCGCGTCCATAACGTTTTCTCTGCCGCAGGTTCTCGTAACGAGCTCGCCGTGCGACAAACCCGATGCGTTATTGCCTTGGCGTCGGTCTCCCTCTTCCATCGGACGAAGAGGTCTTTGCGTTCTCGCAAGAAATCCAGGTCGCACTCCACAAGATGGAAAGCTCTCCTCAACATGTTTTAACGCGAATTAGTTAGAAACCGGAGAAGTTGCTCCGTTTTTATTAACACCGTTTTCTTGTCTCTTTCGCAGATTCTAGCTCTGAAGCACGTGGTCGCCACAGTCGACCGTATGGATTCCTTGTTGGACGTGCACGCAGACCTTGTCGTCGACACCGTGAACGAAGTCCTGTCCACGTACCGAACGCTGATCAGCTGGCCCGTTCGCGTGTACGTCGAACGGAACACTTCGCACGCCCACGCTGCGATGATGGCAAAGCAGGTGACGGATCGGTTCGCCGGCACGTCCGTGGACGTCTCGTTCGAGAAGGAGACGAGACAGGACGGCGCCAGGTGCGTCGGACTGTGGACGAGTGACAAGGGCAATCTAGTGCACCTCTCTCAGATGCTGCTGGAAAACGATCGGGTCGCGTTCTCCGAAGATATCGACGTCGCCTCGATGGAGACTTTGCACGATCAGCTACGAAACTTCAGACGACTCGTGCGGTCCGACGGAAAGATAACGGTCACAGGAAAATCTGTCGGAGTGCGCGACGACCTCGCTATGACGTTCATCCTCTGGTTGGCTTGGACTTGTTTCTTTCGATCTTGATTATTATGTCTAAAACAAATAAAATGTTAGAATAGAATAAGTGTTCTTTCTTATATTTTCGTAACTGTCGTACACCGCTTCCTAGTCGAACGTAGGCACACGCAACACGTCGTGATACGACATGCACACATCTTGCACGCAATCAGATGACCGCACGGCTGGGCTAGGACACTGGCAGGAGCGTCGAAACATATCGTGCAAGGAAAGAGTGGTGGCAGAACGAAGTATTCGCACTCGCTTTCCTTCCGGTCGGGCAAAAAATATTTGCAAAAGGCCAGGATTCTTTTTCCAGCCATCATCTACTCTCTCGACATGATATTAATAGTAATTAAAAGAGACGATTAACATTTTTTATTGTTTTTAAAATCTTTATTTATAAAAAAAACAAAAAAAAAACAAACGATAACAACTGTTCAACCTCTTCCGGATATCGATAAAGAACCTTCCCATATCAACTCCTCTATTTGCTCATCCAATCCGGACAACGTGGTAGCCAGTCGCTCCGTCTCGGCTATCGTCATAGCGAGTTCCTGTCTGATGATTCGATTGCTTTCGGATATCGACTCGAGAT